TGTCTGAGTTGAACTACACAACACCTATATTTAGATTTTATTAAAGCAAAGTTGAGTTTGCTCATAAGATGCTAGCATTCTGCTAAAACATGCTGATTGGTTGTCACCTTGAAGCCTCGTTTCCCAGTGATGACTCCAACAGGCGTTACAAGCTTAGTTTAACCAGAGCAGGAAGTTTCCATGTGTGGATCCGGGCTGCTGACAGAAATTCTCTGATACTCACTTCAGCAGAATGTGGTGCTGCGAGGTCTCTTAAACCTTCAGAAAGATATTTGACTCCAGTCGAAGATCCACAGGGCCTCATATGGTACACGCTACCCTGTGAGTGTCCACTGTGAGTCTGCAGTGGGAGTTCTGGATTATATTAAAAGATTTTGGAAAGATTCAATATTTTTTCTTCACGTGTTATTTTATGTTAATGTTTGTGAGCTGTTCCAGCGACGCGGTGTTGGTGAGCAGACATTTCTGCCTGGGTATCTTTTCGGGATCAGCTCACGTCGTCAGGCTTGAGGACAGAAGCTGAGGTCATTTCTGAGAGAAGAAAGTCACTGGGGACAAAATCTGTGAGCTGGATCTGCTGATCACTGGAGAATTACTATTTAAAGGTCTTGATCCACTTCTGGTTTCTTGATATTTTGTTTGGAAATTGGGAAACAGTTTGAATAAACTCCTGGGTTCATGAGCATGAAATTCGATATTTGATATGACGCCTTTATTTTTTCAGCACAGCCTTCAGGAATAGTTCTCCAAACTTCTTTGGACGTCGGCTGCCTTTTGTTCTCTGTGACGATGATCCCACACTGCTTCAGTGATGATGAGCTGTGGGCTCTGGGGAGGCCGATCCATGACTGATTGTGTTTTTATATGCAGCTTTTACTGCATTGGCAGTATGTTTGCAATCGCTGTCATGTTCAAAAATGAAGTTGTTGCTAATTAGAGATCCCACAGATGATATTTTATGTATTAAAAGATGTTGATTCTCTTCTGCATTCATAATTCCATCAATTTTGACTAAATCTCCAATAACAGTGAAATGCAAACCCACATGATGACAGAGACTGTTTTATAGATGGCTGCAGACGCTCACTCTCTCCTGACCTCCTCCATACATATTGATGACTACTTAAACCAAACTCTGGACAACCTGAGGCAGGATTTTTGAGTCATGTTCCTTTGTAGCCATCCTTCCACTGATACCATTTGTGATGAGTGGATCAACTCAAAGACCAGACATGTCTCAGGGCCTGTGTCAGGGCTTTTTTTCCCTGTTTCTTAAAGGACATTACTCCACTTGTCCAGTTACTCTCCACATTATGTCAACATATGGACATAACAGC